TGCTTTTTGGGTTGGAAATTGTAGGTATGATGTTCAGTGCTAATTTTCCAGAGTAGAGCAAACACTAGAGCATGGATGCCTAAATTAAACTCTCCAGAAGTTAGCATTAATGAGATCGACTATATTTGTATTTTTTTTATTGGCAACACAGAATAAAAAGGTTTCATTAATTAGAAAAAATCAGGTTACAACAAGAAGTAGTGAAAAGAAAACCAGCTTTAGAAGCTGACCCAATCCAAGATTACATTTGAGCCCAAAACATGTGTTCTATGCACCCCTTGCTTGTTTAAGCTATCTGCCAAACTGTTGGCAGTTCTCCTCACCTATCTCACTCGGATTGACATGTCCTTTGATAGCCATTTAAATCTCCTGAATTCATTCCTCAAATGCCATTTCATCCCTTCCCCCTTAAGCAGCCACTTTACCACAGTTTTCGAGTCTCCCTCAATAATCAGCCTACTAATACCCAGTTCTTTTGCCTTCTCAACCCCATAAACTGCAGCCAAAAAAAACTCTGACCTTGCCAAATCACCTTGCTCCACAGGACTGGAGTATAAAGCAGTTATGTTCCCTTCTTCATCCCTAATGGCCCCCCTATACCTGAAGGACCTGGATTACCCAAACAACTCCCATCAAAGTTCAGTTTCTTCCAGCCATTTATTGGGGGAGACCAAGTCTCAACAGATATTTGTCTTGTAGATGAGGATGCAGCAATAGCACCCCAAGCTCTGAAAAAATCTTCAACCTTGAAGTCTGAAAACAGCTTCATGCTCTTCACCCAATGTGCCACTTCTTGCTTCTTTCCTTTTTTTCAAATATTTTTGCATTTCTTTGCTCTCACACAGTCCAATACTATATTTGTATTATTCTGTGTATTAGCCTTTAGTAATCTTATCATTCATAAAAAAAAACCTTTAGTAATCTTATCAACAAGGGTAGGTTGCAAAGTGCAACATAACGTGATTCAAAATGACTTTACCTTTTATAAAAAGGGTTAAATACTTAAACTACCCTTATGGTTTAGCAAATGGATGCAAACCAACCTACTGTTTAAGAAATTACTTAAAGTACCCTGGACATTTCTGATAATGGCAACTGTTAGGAACCTGTAATGGAAAGATTGAAGAGACTACTTTACCCTTGATTTTTCTTCAAATTTTCAAAATGTCTTCTCCGCCCAGATCTGCCCTAAGAACTGTAATTTGCTCCACACTCTCTCACCATCACCGTCATTGTAAGTTGCTCTTTACCGTTTAGTTCTGTTCTCTGCTGCTTGCTGCTTACTTGAAGCTGCTGGAACCTCTGTTTCAAAGAAGAGAAAACGATTGTTGGGGCTGAGAGAGTAAAGGGTGGGGGGGGGCAAGACTAACCTGTGCAACCTTCTATTATCTCAGACCCTTTGGGAATGCAGCCATCCCTTCTTTCAGATTGGGGATTGTTTCTCCTTTGGTCTCCGCCGATCTGTAACCATGCAGATCTTCGTGGAAACCCTAACCGGGAAGACCATAACCCTAGAGGTTGAATCCTTAGACACCATTGACAATGTGAAGGTGAAGATCCAAGACAAAGAGGGTATACCTCCTGATCATCAACGCCTTATCTTCGCAGGAAAGCAGCTCGAAGACAGCTGCACTTTGGCTGATTACAACATCCTGGAGGAACCTGCACTCCACTTGGTTCTCCGACTCAGAGGAGGAGTGAATAAGCTCGCTGTGTTTCAGTTCTACAAGCTTGAGGACTCGGGCAAAGTTCAAAAGCTGAGGAAGGAGTGCCTGAATCAGGATGTGAGGCTGGGATTTTTATGGCTAACCATTTGGATAGACACTACTGTGGAAAGTGTGGGTTGATTTACATTTATCAAAAGGCTGGAGGTGATTAAAGATGTTTGCGGTAGGTTTATGCATCCATTAGTCTTTTAAGAACTCGTGGATCTTGTAATTGGAAATTTGGTTATTAGATAAGAGCGCATTCTGGAATTTGTTTAGAATTGCTGTTCTTATATACTTGATGCCAGATTTGATGGTTTAATTATGAGACCCTAGTCATTTATATGGACCAAAATAATGGGAATGCAGATGTTCAATGGCGGGTATGTAAATCATGGGTTATTGAAATTGGCGTTTTGGTTGTTGAATCAGGAATCTGAGGCATTAAAGAAGTTGTGGGTGGGTTGATATTGGGTCATCGTATAGGATGGTCTTCATTGGGCACTCGTTGGGTTCTAGCGTCACCATGTTATTGACGGTGGTGGTGGTCAACCACACACTCATCACCGTCATCATTGTTGTTTGTTAAGGACATTATTATCACTCTTTAAATGAAATAGGCACTGCCCAGCAGCAAAGCCACCAAGAAGTTGATGTGACTGCTCTGAGCCATCCATTGTGATGCAAAAATTGTCAGGACAGGCAAGCTAACTCTAACTGAGTCTGGTATATAAAATCCAACTGCAGAAATCTCCTGCTTGAACCGATGAAAAGGCCCACTTGTAAAGTTCATCTTCTGAAGCTTACACAAACCCTCTCCCAGTTCCATCATTGCTCCTATATGATTCTGGTTAAAGAGGTGATGGAACCCCACGACACATTGTAGAATCCCATGGATCATGATTCATTTCAGCTCCTCTGTCTTGTTCCATAGAGCTTTGAGAAAGTCGTGGCACTTGTAGTAATCCCTGTTGTTGAAGAGTGAAACCGCTTCATCGAAATTACAATTTCAGATCAATTTGATTCCTGGGTAGATGAAAATTTAAAGAATAATGAAGGGTAAAATCGATTGCAAAAGGGTAGTTTTCGAATTAAGAAAAATTATATATGTCACGTGACATCACATGCGAACAGATTGTAACGGCGCACTAACGATAGGGGAGGATTTTGTCCATTGTCAGAAATGTCTCGGGTACTTTAAGTAATTTTTTAAACAGTAGGGTAGGTTTGTGTCCATTTGCTAAACCATAAGGGTAGTTTAAGTGTTTAACCCTTATAAAAAATACAATTGGCATTGATCAATAGCATGTGTATGTTGCTCTAAGGTCATGAATCGTTGGTCTGGTAGAGGAAAGGGCACACTGACTACATGGTTTAGGGCACTGAATGTTTTTTATTCTCCTACCCCTCCTTCCTAAGGGAAAGGTTAAGAGTGTTTGAGTTATTAGATTAGGGAAGTGAATCTATATTAGTTCCATTAATTTATTCATTTAAAGAAAATAACTTTTGAAATAATGCTTTGTTTTATTGATAGATAAATAAACTGATTGTATTACTTAAAGGGGAGAATCCCAGCCTTTTCAAGAATAATCCTCTTGATTTCTGTTGACCTTTTCTTTTTTTATGGTATTGTTTTTTGATCCTTAGGAGTTTCTTCTATGTGCAATTCCTAAAAGTAAAAGATCTTCTGGGTGCTGATGCATAGGACAACCTACTATGCTCATTCCAGTAAATTTTCCCCTGATCTCTCTTTTTCTACCCCTTTATCCCTATCTCCTCCTTAGTCTACTTCGTTCTTGGTGTTCTTGAGTTTCTGAATTACCTATTTCTCATTGTAAATGATTTTAAGGCTTATGCTGATAAAAAAGGATTTAAGGCTTAAAGCATAGTTTATAAAAACCTTGCAAGTCTCATCTTAGAAATGCATTAGTTCAACTGATGGGTGAGTCAATTTGCATGAGTATGAGCAGAGGTGATACAGATGGTTGATCTTAGGGTGCCCTGATGTCCCAGTGATGCAGCACCATTGGGCCTTAACCACGTGCTTTTAAGTCCATATCCTCAAAACTCCCTTGCTAAAGTGCCCCAAGACTTCTAGTTAGTTCTCTAATTACAAGCCCAATAATCTTTCTCCATGTCCCACATCCTATTCATTTTGCTCATAAGCCAGTTTGGTCACCCAGCCTGGCCTATGTCAACCCAATTCTTGCAGCCCCAAAGGCAGAAAAGCTAGAAGAAGAAAATCCCAAGTAAAGAAAAACTCAAAGATTGGTAATATTTCTTAATTTTGGTTTCTTGTTGGGCATCTTTTTTTTTTTTTTGATAGATAAAATATCATATTTCCATTAACTCAAAGATTGGTTACATGACATCCCCTTAAAGAGGTGCGAGGTGCTGCCTCGCCAAACAGAAAACATATAAACTAAAGCAAAACTCATGCATGCCTATAATGCTCTCAAAATATACTGTTAAGTGAGTATCGACTACTAAAGAATTTTATCTCTTGAAACCCTCCTATGGTTTTTTAATATTCAAAATTACTAGTATTTCTTTAAGACTCGACTTCATCCTTTCTTGTTACCATTATCCATTTACAACTAAAATTATCCACAAGCAGAAGCATTGCTTACTGACAATTTATAAGCAATAAATTTAATCCCTGTCGTATACTGCCTTGGTTAAATTGGAATTTGTTCATCTGGGATCCATTTGCCACTGAGGACAGAAAAGTAAGCTTTTTTTTTTATTTATTTTTTTATTGAGAGTAACTTGGCTAATGTTACTTTGTTTTATTGTTAGGTAAAGCACCTTCTGTAAATTTACTGATAAAACAACACCTTATATAAGTTGCCTTGTGGTTCAAACAACCAAAAAGTGCTTTTGGAAAACAAACCCAACTTCGCATAGCCTTTTCATTTCTTTTTTTTTTCCTTTTCCTTTTTCATCCGTCTAAATTGGTAATAAGATCAAAGAGAATAATATATTAAAAAGTCAGCATTACAAGCAAGGTCCCCAAATACAGCCACAGCTAGCCTAGAATAGCGACCTTTAATAAATCCTTTCCTTCCATTTTCATAGTTTAATTCGTCAAACTAAAAGTGCATTGATCTCACTCTTGGTTCACTTTGTGTTTGAGGAAGTTCAAAGTATGATATCTAATATTACGTTGAAAGCCTAAAACTCTGTGTTCTTCCATTACATTGTGAAGTTCTTATTTAGATTTTTGAGCTGATAAAGTGATAATGTTATTCATGTTTTATTAACGTTTTTGTATTGCTTATTGATTTGTTTCAGATACTTAAGAAGGTGCGTGGGTCATGGCGTGGTCCTCTTGAAACAGGTAATATGTGTGCACTTATTTGTTGGAAATCAAAAGCAGCATTTTTTCAATTCCTTTTGTTGTGTTTACCACTTTGACTTGAAGAACTTTTAAGAGGTTCTCATGTGTGTGTGGATAATAATCCAAATTGAAAATCTTCTGCCAATAAAGAAATGCACCAAATTTTCAATAAACTGTATTTTGATAGATGTCTTGCATAAAGTCATCTAGCCTCTAACTCAGGTATGGTATTTCTAGTCCACAGTTTGAGGTGTTGTTTCTGCAGATTGACGACACATCTTCATTCAGCTTTAGTCTATTCATGTGGCCACTTAAGAGTGTGTTCTTATTTTGCATATCTCATCATATTTCCAAATTGTCCATCTTAGCCTAGCTGGAGACTAGAATTAATGATATTATGTCATTCTTAATGTTGGAGTTTCAATATTTCATTTTAATTTCACATGCTTTGCCTGTAATTTATTTGTATATATATATATATATATTTGTGTAATGGTTGACTGATTTGTGCTAAATCTGATCTGCATGGAGGTTTCAACCTTTTTTGCAGACTTGCAGTAAGTGGAGGAGGGTTTGAGTAAATGGGGGGGGGGGGGTAGGGAAAGCCGAGGTATTTGAGAAATGAAATGATCTTGTTGCAGTGGATTCATGCCATGTAAATTGGACATTGATAGTGTTGCTGCCGTCTTTCTCCCTCTCCTCTCTACATCCTTTGATCCTTGTCAACAGTGGGCAGTGGGATGATTGGTGATGGTATTTATATGGTTGAGGATTTTCTTTAGATTCTGTAGGTCTTCTCTTGAGAAAAAGGTTTTACTGCGTTCCTTTGTGAAATATGAGTTTCAGTGTTGTAAAACCATTTAAATTTCGTTGCATAATTCTTGCTTAATTACTACTTTGGTTGGTAAGCACGGGGTTTGGCAGACTATTATTGCCTGAATTAACAGGAATTTGAACAGATTGAACAGTCTCTGGACTGGTCCAAAATGTCCAAAATATTCATTGGACTGGATTGGACCAGGTCCATTTGTAATGGACTCGCATTGGATTGGACCAAATGCAGTCCAATTGACACCCCTAGGTGAAACCCACAGTAATTATGTTTTCATTGGGTATCACAGTTTCACTTGCCCAGGGAAGTGTAAACCTTCTCCCACTTGGGAAAGTTAGTTTTTTCAAATGGAGAGTAAATGCTTATGCTAAAAGGTAAAAATGACAAAAGATAGAAAAATTAACTATTTACCTGAAAAAGTGGGTGAGGCAAATAAAAAAAAAGGAAAAGTTGAGAGGCTTCATTTACCTGAATAAATTTAACAAAAAAATAGCCTCTTAATAAACGAACAACGCCTGAATGTCTATATTAGACATTTCCTTTTATACTGGTATTATATTATAATAAACTGAGAAACCAAACTATAACATGGTTTTATCCTTCTGTTACTAAACCTATCCCCCTATAACAATTGACACATATCCGCTGGAGGATTAACAAAACAAGTAAATCTCTCAGATTTATATATACCCTTATTGGCTAAATAGTCAGCACAGGCATTTGGTTCTCAATACTTGCCACACTGGAGAAGTTCCATGATTCTCTGAAAGATGTGGATCTCTAGTTTTTTTTATTATTTTTTATTTGAATGGCTTGTACACATGACATGGAGTCAGATTGGATGACGTGTCGGTATCCTTTCCTCCAGGATTGGACATAGTTCTGCAATTTCATTGGTGGTGCTCACTACTCACCTGGAGTACTGTGAAACCAACTTTCCTTTGGTGCTGCACCTGTTTTCCCTGCGTTGCCTTTGCTGGTTCCTTCGGAGTTGACCTTGATCCATCTTTCAGGAGTACATTTCCATCAATGGCTCTCCGATTTCTGTGCCTTGCCTTTCATTGTCCATACCCATGTTAGTTCTTTCTTATAAATTAATCATAACATGAATTCTAATACATAATTTCCTTATATTAATTTCAACTTTATTAGAAATTACTTAATTTATTGTTTTTCAAATAAATCACGTCAACATTTTGCCCATTCAAGTAACCAATTTTGTATAGAATCTGCTGTTATAATATGGTTACCCAAATAACTCAATATTTAGTCCACAAGTATATAACAAATGTATTGTTGTTTCACACAAATTGGATTCGGATCCATTTCTTAGGTGCATAATTAAAATTCACTTAGGCGCTGTTCGTTTTTTGATAGGTGTCAATGGACCGGTTTTGGATTGGATTCTGTCCGGCTTAAAATCAATTTGGACGGATTAGACAGACTAACAAGACATATTGGATTGAACCTATTCGGTCCAAAATATTTATTAGATTGGATTGAACTTGGTCTGTCTGTAACAAATTTATACTGAATTGGATTGGATTAAGCCAATATCTGGTCCATTAATATAAAATAAGAATATGTGTGTCAAAGGACCGAATTTGGGTTAAAACCAATCTAAATCAAAATGTATTTGAAACAGATTGGACGATCCAAACATTGAATTGGACCAGTCCAAATTGGTCTAAAACATTCATTGGATTGGATTGGATTGGACCTGGTCCATTTATAATAGACTCACATTCAACTAGATTGAATTGGACCAAATCCAATCCAATTGACACCCCTACTTTTCGGTAAGTTACTTACCCAGGTAAATTTAACTACTTGGGTAGGAAATATTTACCCGGGTAAGTGCATTTACCCATGTTTTTTTATTTCCTAGGTAAGCAATGCAATGACCATTTTAGTCATAAAAATCCGTTATTAAAATGAGCAATTTTTGTCCCATTCAAGTATTGACAACTTTTTCCAAATGTGAAAAAATTATCTATCCACCTAAGAGATGGGTATCGCTTACCCGGGTAAGTAATCCCCACGTAGGAGAAAATAAACTTTCCCTTATCCTCACATAAGTTTGAAAAAAGAATATGGGTTTCTTGGTCAATGGGAATCAAAATCCCTTTGACTTCAAAATCCAAAAAAATAGCGTCCCTTTAGGGAGAAGTTGCCAATACTTGAATGGAACAAAATTATCCCTTTTAATTGGGTTCGACTATAATATGAAAAAGATATGATATCTGAAAAACAACTGACTAATAAACTCGAATCATGAACGTTATAGTGAATAAGGTGTTATTTATCAACAATCATGGGTAGCTTTTGATTGGTCAAAACTCTTCCCATACCATATCTTTTCTGCATCATAGATTTTCCCCTTTGGCTTTTATGTCTAAAACTGCCACTATTTTATTTAAGTGGAAAATAAAAATTATAGGATACATAGGAAATCTGCCAAGCATTAAAAGCCCTATAAAATTTGACCTTTGTTGGTAAAGGAGCTTTCCGAAGGATTTGCCATCTGTTGTTACTTTCCCCTATTAAATGTTTGTTTAATAACTAATAGGCCGGGCATTCTGGTACTTTCCCTTTCTTTTCTGGCCCCAGGCCCACTTAACATTTATATCTTCAGCTCTTAGAAGGGGTATTTCTCTAATTGTTTCTAGGTATTCTTGAGGAATAAAAAATAAGGCAATGACCATTTTAACCATAAAAATCTTATTAAAAGGGGCATTTTTGTATCATTCAAGTGTTGGCAACCTTCCCCTTATTGTGGAAAAGTTATTTACCCACCTTAAAGGGAGTAAATGATACCCAAGAGGCCAGAATAATAAATTTTTCTTGGCCCCCATATAAATATGAAAAAAGAAATGAGATTTTTAGTCAATGGAAATTAAAATCCCTTTGACCAACTTTCTCCCTCTCAAAATCCCAAAAAAGAACACCCCCTAAATATGGTGAATACATAAATCAGTTTTAAGATAACGGGACTCGACATAGAACTCAAAAAAAAAAACGAGATGTTCACTAATTAGTCACTAATTAGAAATTCATCCAAGGTCAAACCATGATGACATAAATTTCCATTCATTTAGTGATTTAGGCAGTTATATGAAACCAAGACCAGTTCACCGTTTCTTTGATTCTTTGATTAAACAAACTAGTCGACTGGTTTTCGCCTTAATGAATTATAGTTTTTTCTTTTTAGAATATGGCCAAACCAGCCAAAGGTCTGCATCACTGGTCCACTTTTCCAAACACTGGAAATTATTTGCAAGATGCAACAGCAGATTATCTTAAATTATTATGGCCAACAAAAAATCTATATTTAAAGTGGATATTTGTCCAATATCTGAAAAATTCACGTTCTAAGTCGGTTCCAAATAGTTGGTATCAAGACTGAATAGAGTTCAGTGGTATCTAAAAAAATCCAATTTTATGCTAACACCAATGATAAATTAAAAGATGAACATGAAATCATAAACACATGGGCATCATCTCATGATGCTCCAAGGTTTCCTTCGCTTTTGCTCCGGTGTAAAGAGAGATCAGACCGCAAATTTAGGAGCTTGTTGCCAAGGTCTATATGATGGTGGCGATGATTAATGGCTCTGGTTCCATTTGGTGGGAGGTGCCCATGTCGACTTCTGGATCGCTTTGGTGAACTCACGACCTGACTAGTACGACCATGGCTAGATGAAGATGGCTTGTGAGAGGCAGCTATACTATGAAGTCCTTTCCGTGCTAACTTATGTTCTGATCTCAGGGCACTGTCAAACTTATGTCCGGTGATAGCTGATCGAGTTGGGCGATCAGCAACTTCTTTAGAAGAAATGGCTTTGATCGGCTGCCTATTGAAGTAAACCAGATGGGGGAGAAGACCTTGTAGATATTTCTTCAGTTGTTCATCTCCTACATTCCTCTGTGCTGGATTGCCTTCCAAGCTGATGGCTTGTAAGGAACTATAGTTAGCTGCAAGTTGGCCAAGACATTTCGCTGTTGAGATTTTGTTGAAGCGCAAATCCAGGATGTTCAGTTTGAGAAGACGATGAAGACCTTCCACCTCGCTGATTTTGTTTCCAGACAGATATAATTCTTTTAAGGAGGAACAAGAAGCTAGGCCTGAGATGACCAGAGAATTAATAGATAGATTAATGCAAGGGAGTCAATACATGAAGGCCAAGAGTGGTGTATGTAAAATATAATACAATAAAATGTATCCAACCCAGAATCATGCAGAGTTGCTGAGCAGAAACAACATATTAGGATCCAAATCTTCTAATAACTAAGCACCGAAAAATAATGCACAAGTCTATCTAGTGTTGCTTGTATGATGTTAAGGATGAGACAAGACAGAAATTTTCAGAACCTTAAGTTCACAGGACCTTTTTTTGATTGGTAACAAGCAGGAGATATTAATAACACCCGACATAATATTCACTAATATGATATTTATGACCAAAGGCCCAAAAAATATGAAACAATATCAGGAACTAAAGTATTCAGCATAAAAACGCCAATAGGTAAAAACACAGAACATGCATACAGGAATATGGATGTGAACAACATGGTGAACTTGCATATGAACTTTCACCTTTAATATGCCAAAATATTTTGATGTCCAATATTACTCATAAATCATGCATAGTAAAATGAATGATCAGAGGCAAAAAAGTTTCCAAATTTTGCATAATTCTTGAGCCAGCAGCAACCCAAAAAATAAGAACTTTTTCCATTACTTGCTATGCAGTATGGAAGGTTAGTACTTCGAAGATGTGTTAACACACATTTAGGCAAGAATAAGCATAACCAAACCAAGACAGTTGTAACCTGTTTGGATTTCACATGAAATGGAACCATTTTATTTTAATTTTGCATAGCGTTTGATCCACAGCGACATTATTTCATGTGGATTCATTTCAAGTCAAGAGTATCTTTGAACAATGTTTTAAAAACCGACCCGGAACTAGAACCATTCTGGCCACAGGTTTCTGGGTCAACAATTCGACCATCCGGTTCGAATGGACAGCCCATTCTGACAAAAAAAATTTTAAAATTAAAATTAAAAAAATTAAAAAACGATCAAAACCGTTGAATGGGTTAACGGTTCAACCACCTGGGCCAACTGGTTGTTGACCAATTCAACGGTTTTGGCCAGGGGTCGGGTTTGGGGTAAAACGGAACCGATTGCTTGGACGGTTCCTGAGCCAAATAGTCCAACCATCCGGGTCAACAGCGGTTCAAAAACACTGACTGTGAATGAGTTCATTTCAAGAACGTGAAATGACATCATTCATTCCAACAAAAGCAGGAATTGATCCATTTTAGCTGGAGAACTAGGGCTCTAAAATGTCAATTAATAGATTGTTTGGGCTCTAAAACAATCTATTAATTGACACACATGATATTCATTATAATCTGAATACCAAATTGAAATTAATTGCTTGAAAGATTAGTCTGGAAACAATCTCATGAATCTAGAGCAATGAAAATATAAACACCTGATGATCTATGACATGTCAGCAACAGAAAGACAAGCAGTTTGTGGAATCAAGAATATAACGCCTAATATCATTACTAAAATGCTTCAAGTTTCTTGAAGAAAAACATCAATTCAAGACTAACAGTTATCTGTGGTAGAAGCTATCAAGATCCCTCAACCATTTCCTTGAGGCCCATTCGCTTTTTGGTAAGTTACTTACCCAGGTAAATGCAGTTACCTGGGTAAGTTTTTCCCGGGAAACACTTACCCAGGTAAGTGCATTTACCCATGTTCTTTTAWTTCTCATTTAAATAAGGCAATGACCATTTTAGCCATAAAAAATCTATTATTAAAAAAGGCATTTTTGTCCCATTCAAGTGTTGGGAACTTTCCCCCTAGGTGGGAAAGTTATTTACCCACCTAGGAGATGGGTACCACTTACCCGGGTAGGTGATACCCAGGAAAATTAACTTTCCCTGGTCCCCACATAAATCTGAAAAAAGAACATGGGATTCTTGGTCAATGGGAAATTGACCAACTTTCCCCCTCTCAAAATCCAAAAAAAGAACGCCCCCTAAGTATATGGTAAATATATAATGGGTGGCAAACAGATGCATAAAAGCAACTAAAAGTAAGCCACAAGCAGTAAATTTCTGCATGTGAGACCTGAATTTCTACAACCTACAATCTAGCAGGCTATCATAAAATGTACTGAAATAATCTGAAATGATTAAGTAACTAAGCATCAAAAGCAAATGGCATACACCCATGATTGTGAGTAATTTTATGGCCCTCAATAACATGAAACTGTATGCTACAGTGAAGAGTTGAATAGGAGACACCAACATGGCACAATATAAGAAACAACTAAGAATATCTACATACTAGTTCATCAAAAGCCATACCATGACCAATTCTGAATATCCGATTGTAGCTTAGGTCCAGTATACGGAGGCGTGTAAGTTCCCGGAGGCCTTCTATGGTGGAGATGTTGTTTTTTGACAGATTTAACATATGGAGACCACGTGGAAGAGAACCAGAAGTTATCCTCACTGGCAATAAGTAAAAAAGAAACTTCAATTGCATTTCAACAACTCGGAAAACACATTAAACTAAAGACATAATAAAAATAAGAGCCTAGTAAAAAGTTTATAGTGTTATAGCACACCTACCTATGGCATTTCCTGATAAATTAAGCACTCTCAGGCTTACAAAAGCACTAAGATATGGGATCACAGCCAGCCCAAGATTTGTTAGTTGAGCTGTTGTGGATGTGGCAGTCAAAGAAGAGATATAGTTCTTTGCTGCTTCCATGGCAGGAATGATCTTGGTATCCAACTTTGCCACAGCAACAGTGCCCAATGCATTGGAACCTTTCTTTACCTTATCAGTAGAATAAGGTGGTATTTCTGGTTCTTCAAAAGGACTGGTGCAATCATTAAGATCAATTGTGCTGACCCACTCCTCAATACGCTTTATTTTGAATTCTTTGCTTGGCAATTCATCCCACCTTCGTACTGATGGTTCTCCCTGAAGAATTTTTTCCGTGCCTACACTGTCCATTCCTGGTGTTGTCCAGTTATCCTCTAAGCTAATAAGATTATAAGAATCACAGCCTCCACTCATAGGACTACATTTATCCTTTTCACTCCCAGATATGTTATTATCTTTTTCATCACCTGTCATTGCATGAGGTTCTCCTTTCCCCTTTGCAACTAGACTACCCAGGTCCTCATAAGATCTGCAGCAAGGTCTTATGAATACAGGCGTAAGTGAACCTTCTTCATTAGGAGGGGTATAGACTCCCAGGTTGGGTAAGGAACATGATTTAGTGATCATCAGTAGGGTAGTAGGTGTATGTTGTCCAGAGTCATTGGCATGGTCACTAGATATCTGTGTCGTAGAATCTTCATGACCTCTTTCTAGCTGCTTTGAATCTCCAATTGGGAAGATGGTTTCTTCATGACCTTCTCTTTCTAGCTGCTTTGGATCTCCAATTGAGAAGATGCTTTCTTCACGACCTTCACTTTCTAGCTGCTTTGGATCTCCCATTGAGAAAACGCTTTCTGCATGACCTTCTCTTTCTAGCTGCTGTGGATCTCCAATTGAGAAGATAGTTTCATTATGCACCAGGTTGGAGTTAGCTTGAGAAGGTTCAGAGACCATAGCTTCCTGATGCAAGCTCATTTCTGGGTCCCTGCTGTCAAATGGTTCAATCAACTCACTTCGGTCAACAACACCAAGAATTTCACTATAGTTCTTTCCTTGGGAACCATCACATGAAAATCCTTGATCTAACTCATCATCAGAGTTGATGCTGCTAGAAACAATCCCCTCCCTGTCCAAACCACTTCCCAGAGACTGGCTCTTTTTAAGAAGGTGCACTCTGTGATGAACTGCCATATTGCCATCATGGCTGAAACTACTCATTTCCTCAGATTTTGAGCGACAGCCCACAGAAGAAGAACTCTTTACTTGCTCAGCACTTAAGCTTGAAGAGATGCTTGGGGCCTTCATAGGTTTGTCCATTGTTGCAGATGATTGTTGAAATGCTTTCTAGTAAGAGTAAGAGAAATGATATGCACCAGTCAGAAAACCAGAAAATCATAGTCTCTGTTAAGTTTCATTTTCGACCTCAATGATTTGAAGTATTCTATAACATACCTTTGACCTTGGATAATGGATGTGGGCGTGGAAGCATGAAAACCTAACCATCCTGGTAAAATATATAAGAGCTTCATCCACACTCTAACTGTATTTTCAATATTGAAAAGCTATTGAAAGAAAAAGTATTTTGTACATCTAAATTAGTCCAAAAAACAAAGGTTGATGATGCCTAATATGCAATTACCAACTATCAGAAAGTAGGCAATCTTTCAAATTTTCTGACTCTTAAGTCCTAGCAAAATATTAGCCATAGTCAAGTGAGAGACCCTCCGAAACACGACACAATCTCCAAATGTGGGATGATCTTGATCTTCTAAGCACACACAATATAATCACCCTGTCATAATTACCCCACACCCACTTAGAGGTGCGAGAAGAGTATGATTTTGTTGCAGCGGCCAGAGTGAAAGAAACGCTCTGTCAACTAAGAAAAGCAAATACCAAACATATAGAAGAGATGAACACCTGCCACAGAAGAAAACGATGAAATAAGCTCTGAGACGGATATAGCATAACATGTATATCTAATTTTGTAACTGGTAGCTAGGTAATGTAAACAAAAGAATAGATTGATTGCAGAATAGAGGTATAATGATTTTTTAAGACAGAAGAGAGGCAATAACATAATAGGAACTGCAAACCATAAGACAAAGAATACATGGATTGAAATGTAGGGAAGATCTCTGTGGTTCTGTGAAAGCTCATGATACTGATGCTTACTGCTTCAATTCCAATGGCTCCTTTGAAAATAAGGATGCTGGTTTTGGAATAATGAGATGTGAAGAACCTCCATGGTCACTAATTCCATTAACTTCCTAGCCTCCACTATCTTAATTCTAAAAACTGAGCCCATCTTAAAGGGCCTCCATATTGCTTTTGATCACTGTGTGCAACTGTTTTCAGATTACTACAGATCTGATAGAATCAAATAGTGCACCTTGGGGTGTTCCAAAAGGCTGTGGATAATTTATGCCAACCCTTTGTAAATCAGACACTTCATCCATGCCTTATCCCAACTATATGGGGTCGGCTACACTTGATTAGTCTTTTTTTTTTTCTTTTTTTGAAAACAAATGCTCAGTAGACACTTGGCTGGTCAAGTTGTTGCTGTTATTTTGGAAATGAAGCATGAACCTAAACAGTGGCGCTGACTTTTTTGAAGAATTAACAATTTATTGATGAATGATGACGCAGTTTTCTAAACACCAAACAGATGAATTCCATAGAGCTTTTATTCAAATAAGAGTGCCAAAGGGTGTAGTACATATACAATAACTTAGATATTTCTAATCCCGGCAGCCATCTAGACAAACGTAGAATGCTTTCTCTAGAACATACAAACACAGATTAGGATATATGAGCTATTTAATTTTAGAAACAGGATGCAAATTCAATTTGTACAGTCCTTTTAAAGTCGGTTATATAATGCCAACATATGGAAATTGAACATGACAACCTACATACAAATAAGCATAAAAAAGATGTATAGGTCCCGATCTCCAACCATGAACTCAAGATAGAAAAACCATCTCAATCTACCGAGTAAAATTGGGTATATAAGACTGAGCCCTATATATTTATTTGGCTGCATATGTAAAATTATAATGGATTTTAATGAATATGAGCTGAGAAGAAATTCGGAGTTGTTCCAGATTAGAACAAACTACAATTGAGAGAAAGAAATCCTCTACACATGGAAAGTTGGAAACAGAGAGGGAGAGAGCTATTGAAATTAAAACATAAAATGAATGAATCAACGACATCTAGGACGACGGTAAACAAGAACAAAACATCACCCGTGAATCAAACATTAGAAACCATCCGATCAATACACCTACCTCATATCACCAAACACACCACAGAAACACACCATACAAAATCAAAAGGAAGACAGGAAAAACAAATCTTGAGTTCAATATCAAGCCAGACAAAGTCTAAAAAGAGAAGAAAAACAGCCTTAAATGATACCCATAGACACATTAAAGAACAATTATCGAGCCACACGAACAAATAATAAAGATTGGGAAAAACTAGAAAAAAAAATCATGAAAAGAAAGCTGGAAACAGAGATCTGACCTCTCTAAAGCCAGATTGTAACAGGAATTATTTCTGAGGAACGATTTCTCCCACAAAGATCTCACGAGGACCAGACTGTATTTGTTACTACGGGAAAGCAGAACCAGTCGTAGATATTGGGCAAAAACCGATAGTTAAACAGATTAGATTCGATTCTAATTTGTAGAATGAGAGAAATAGAAGGTGCAACGAAACAAAACAGAAGGGAGGTGATATGAGTTAAATGTTTAATTGCTTACCCTACCGAAGTACGAGGGCTGGTATTTACGAGCAATCGGACGACTCCGATTTTCTCCCGCAAATTTCCCTTCCTTTTTCAGCCTTTAAAAAGTTTTTACCGTTTTTTCTTTCCCAATTCCCTTAAAACTCGGTTTTCGTCCATCCCGTTAAAAATCCTTTCTAGTGAATCCATTTTCGCTTACACTCGGGTTTGATACGCCTCTCTATCGGTGCTCATCGGTGGATACCGTGTCATAAGCCTCAATACCGTTGTGCTATCTTGTATCCTCCCCTATCGATATCGATAGGATACACTTCATAATATTGTGTTAATATTTTAATCATTGCTAGGTTATTTAGCGTCCAAGAGCACAAAGATGTTAACCATCAAGTTACCTTCTATTTTGTGATAATAAATTAAATAAATTATTTTTTATTAAAATTAATTTTTACATTTAATCTAAATAAATAATATATTCAATAATTCCAAGTATAAACTTAACAAGAATAATATTTAAAGTTTTTATTTTACTAATCAATAAAATAAATAATTTATCAAATCTATATATATATATATATATATAAATAATTTTTCATTTCAATAAATTTATACAGATAAAAATATTATTAATAGAATGATTATTTTAATACTTAAAATTATTTGTGTAGACTTGATAAATTATAATAATTATTTTATAAATTATTAATTAATATTATAATTTGCATTAAATAACAATATATATATTATTACAAAGATAAAGTATTGTTTATAAAATATTTGAGAATATAATATAAATTGAATCTATCAAATCCACTAATCTATATTTAATTAAAAATTATTTTTTTAATTTAACAAATTCATAAAAATAAAATATTAATAATGGAATAGTTATTTTAGTAATTAAAATTTATGATTTTTTATATGGTATGCATCTTCAAAGTTCTAATAAATTTGATATATTTTAAGTTAATATTATATATTTTTATAAATTATTAATTTTTTCATTTACATTTTATATAAACATATTTATTGTTTGCACAAATGAAAGTATTATTTGTGAACATTTGTGAATTAATTTTTAGTTGATGTTAAAACTTGAAAATAGTAAAATAAAAATAATTGATATAATAACTTAAATATAATGGTTGCATATGTTTTGTGCCTTGGATTTTAATAAAAATAAAAATTGATGCATTATCAATAAGATTGTATAATATCTATGCATCCCGATAGATGAATAGTAATATATTTATTCAGATATACCATTAAAATATACAATTCCTATGTATTTATACATTATTTATAGTTATTTTGACATTAAACTTGAAGTTATTAATATAATTATTGAATTTGTATGCATTTCTTTAGCGTATCCAAGCATTTCCATATTTTTCATATGTATCTATGCATTTCTCGAACATATCTGTATTCATATCCAAGTTGTGTAATATAATACCTGATACTGATACTTTAATCCTTAGTACGAATACAAATGTATTATGCATAATTGCACAATGCAAATATAGGTTTAAGAATACAAAAGGCTTTGTATTACATATATTTATATTTGTACTCTTTTCAAATTGAATCTATACATATTTGTATATGCACTCTTTCCAAATTGAGCCTTGTACTATATAATTGATCAAATTTTGAATCTTGGTATATTTGATTCAACTCTGAAATTATCATCGTCTTAGTTTTGTCTCAATTATATGGGGTTGGCTTTATTTTATCATATATCTTGGTTGTCATTAAATTATGTGGGTGCTTAAATCATTCCTTATTATTTTCACCTAAATCCTTTTGGATTTATTCTTAACTTTTCTAACGAATCCAATTTATAATAAATCACATTACATCATATATATATATATATATATATATATATATATATGCGATCAAGTCATGTCAATCTATTTTCTTTCATTTTATCGACTCTTTGAGCTATTATTGATTGGATCAATATAGTAAAATAACAAAAATTACATGTATGACTGAGTCAGAGAATGTCATCAGTTATTAATTTGTTATTATTTTTAAAGGTCTCTTTCTTTGAGTGGATTTTATACCTTCCATTAATAGGAGTTTTTTAATTGCTTGGTCCATGGGGGCCCAGTTTGATATGTCCGTGGACTGATCAACAAGTGCAGTATGAGTATGCATTGCGCCTGGCCCTGGCGAAGTTGCGAGTGCGGAGTGGCCTGCGCTTCCCTCCATATTGGACGTTATTGATGGACTCTAAAGGATCCAACTTGTTTGTAACTATCTTATATCTTATCATCTCATACCAGGCCCAAAACTTTGTTGGGCCGCTCCCCTCCTAAGTTCCTAACTTACTGGAGTCTGGAGACCTAAGATATTGTTTTTTAAAGGTTAAATGCTTGTTTCTTAAAGGATGTCTTCATTGAAAAGTATTTCAAAACCAGTAAGAGAAGGAAACGTGCTCCCTAATGTTCAATACCACACACATCTGATAACAGTTTCCACCTTATAAAGTTGAAAGCTCTTCTATTCTATGTCCCGTTGTTCTTTATATATGTTTCATCTATTTACCTTTTACACCTCCCTAGTCCCCACCCCACCCCAAGACAAACTACAATGAAAAATTAATCTCTCTCTCTCTCCAGAGAACTTTTTATTTTTGGTAAACATCACTCCAGAACATTGAATCATAACTCTCATTTGATGGAAATAATTGGCTAAGACCTCATATTCTTATTTGCTATCTCCACTAATTCCCTAAGCCCATACTGGTATTGGGCCAATAGATACTTTATTTCCCCAAAAGAGGACATTCTCAAAATGGGCAAGGCATATGCAATGGGACAGCCCATTACCCATTGGCTCAAAGTTCCTTTTGTACGTACGAAGGATAAGATGACAAAAGATTATTCAAGAATGGGCAGGCATTTGACAGAGAACCATGCTGAACCATTGGGCAATTATATATAGAAGGGAAAGGGTAAGGGATTTGGAACTTCCAGTAAATAAAGTGATCTACCTAACACTGTGGGTGGTGACTTTTCAGGAGTGGCTTTTCTTTAACGCATGCTGTAATCTTTATAGTGGTTGTTTACTTCAAAGGCACCCAACACCAACACCCATGAATTTATGCTCTAATGGTAATGGGTGCTTTGATAGCTCTGTTTGATCAGATAAAGCTACTTGGGAATGTACCATTGTTTATATTGACAAATTTCTTATTGCAAATGACTTGCATTCCCCATTTAAGGGAATAGTCATTCCCTCCCCCCTCTCTTGGGAATAAAATCCCATTCAAGTTGATTTCAATTCTGATTCCAATTCTTGCCTGAACCAAACAGTATGGGAATAGATCATTCTTATTACAATTCTGGGGATTTTGATTCCGCTTCTGATTTTAATTGCAAACCAAATGGACACTAAATACCAATGGGCAGAAGGATCCTGCATTTCAAATTTTTGAATAAAGTTGATTTTTGTCTTTTAACTTTTTTGCGATTTTGATTTGAAATAACAGGAAGTGCATATAACGGCCAGTTGTATAGTTGTATTTGAAAAGATGCGCAACCTGTTTCCAATTCAAAACAAATTCGACCTTTTGCTATTTCGGTTGCTTAACATGTCCTAATATTATTGGGGTGTTTGTATGCACTTCTTGCCATGATGGTAGCAGCTGGTTCTATTTCATGAAAGTGCATGGAACTCCAATGGGTCGGGTTTCGTTTGAGATAGAGTGGACCAGTCCTGAATTAATTATTAATTGATTCTATAAGATAGATTTAGAATCAAACCGATTAATTCAAGATAATCGGGTCTGACCTGATTATTGTTTTTGATGGTATAACCTTAATAAAAATGGCAGTAAATATTAAACTGTTTGTATTTTTGACAAAACAAGAGTTTTTAATTACAATTGTCTTACACTTACCATTTTAAACATGAAATATAAAAATTACAAGAAAGAAAAAATAGGACATCAGCCATGTAGCAAGAACCAACCTAATTAATCGGTTAAATAATTAGTTCAATGCTATCAGGTAGACCTGGCCCTTTTTTTTTTTGTAATGAGACCTGGACCATTAACAAATTTACAAGTTCATGCGTTTCATAACTATAGTTTAAAGTTTAATAAGTTATAGGGCAAATTTCTTAAAGTACCTTTAAGGGGTATTCTTTTTTTGGATTTTGAGAGGGGGGAAAGTTGGTCAATGGGATTTTGGTTCCCATTGAACAAGAATCTTATGTTCTTTTTTCAGATTTATGTGGGGACCAGGGAAAGTTTATTTACCTGGGTAAGTGATACCCATCTCCTAAGTGGGTAAATAACTTTCCCATTTAGGGGGTGTTCTTTTTTCGGATTTTGAGATGGAGGAAAGTTGGTCAATGGGATTTTGGTTCCCATTAACCAAGAACCCTATGTTCTTTTTTTAGATTTGTGGGGATTAGGGAAAGTTTATTTTCCTAGGTATCACTTACCTAGGTAAGTAATACCCATCTCCTAGGTGGGTAAACAACTTTCCCACCTAGGGGGAAAGTTGCCAACACTTGAATGGGACAAAAATGCCCCTTTTAATAATGGATTTTTATGGCTAAAATGGTCATTGGCCGTTGCCTTGTTTACATGAAAAATAAAGGAATATGGGTAAATGCACTTACCCGGGTAAGTGTTTTCTAGGAAAAACTTACCTAGGTAACTGCATTTAGGAAATTGACTAACTCTACCCTCGCTGTTTACATATTGTCTTAAAGTATCCCTATCTTTTCGGACAAGTGTCTAAAACCTCCCTTATTGTTAACTTTCTGACACACTCCATCACATGTGACATCACGTGATTGACATATTTTTCAAAAATTTCTAAAATACCCTTTTACCTCTGTTTGGATGATTGCCTTCCGCATATATCAAAGAGCGATAAAGCTCTCAGAGCACATCCATTCTGTTTGCCAGCTCATAGAGCGGACCTGTGATTTCGGCATTGTTTGCGAGCTTTGGTGAAATTATGGTATGGGT